TGGTCCATCTATAAAGGTACCGTCATATTGAACGGAGGTCCACCCTAAAGACTTCTTTTTAACTTCATTACCTCTGTCAAGGTCCCAAAATAAGGTCACATTCTGGGGTAGTTAGGATTCCAACATATGAGCTTGGTTGAGTGTACATAATTCAACCTGTGACACTTGGCTTAATTAAAAAGGGGAGACCCTTGAGAGGAAGCTCAGGGGAAATGACTGTGCAGCACAGGGTTACACAACACACACACACACACACACACACACACACACACACATTTTTTTCTCTACCACAGAAACAAAACCTCAGGCTGATGTAGCCTTTGCCTCTGGGTAGTGTGTGTGTGTGGGTGCGGTCTTGTTAGTGTATGCAGAGAAAAATCATGAAATAAAAAACAAATGAAGCTTGTTTGAATTTTTGGAATGATGCAATGGATGAAGTGATACTTGGTATCTTATTATGAGATACTAACTTTAAAAGACTGATCATTTTTTTCAGAGATGGAAGAATATATAATGAAGAGCCCAGGCATGGAAATTTACCAGTGTGATCTTGAGCAAGTTTTTAAAAAAGCTTCTTTGACCCTTACTTCTTGATTTTGCATGTTTAAGAGGTAGATTGTGGTTGTACAGGGTTCTTCTGAGAAGTTAGAGCCATAATTTACCAGAAGTCTCAGCACGGCTCGTGGCACACAGTGCTCAGCCCAGTAAATGTGAGCTACCCTTGTGTTGTGATCTGGTTGGATACGGTTTGGGCCATGCAGGGATTTCCACATTTTCTGGGCTGCTGTGAAGCTACCTGTGCTTGACACAAAGGCCGGCATCCCTGGTCCACTAAGCCCTAGTCCACGGAGAAAGCAGTAGTAGTGGGGTTGTCTGCTAGGCGAGATGCAGCCGCTTGTCTGAGATCTTTCCCTCATCAAAGCTCCCTTTTGAGCAGCGCCAGCTGCCTCCGACCTGTGTTGCTAAGGACATGCTTGGCTTCTCAGATCATCGCCATAGGAATGGCATGAATTTATTCCCTGTACCTGAAGGAGACCCTGACAAATAGCAACAATTCCAAGGAGATGACTGAGTCAAGTATTTCAGGCAGCGTAGGTGAAATATCACTGAACTGTCTGCCGTTCTTTTCAAAGTCTTTCAAGCAGTAGTTGTGAGGAGACCTATCTTATGTGGACGGCTTGGCAGTTTTAGACAATTGCAGATATAAACGATGACATCCTGTCCACATCCTAAGGACCTGGTGTGTGATATTCATTAGTGGATCCTGTCTCTGCGAAGAGGAAGTAAAAGCAAGTCTTGCTTGAGAGAACAAAGTCCTTGTTGGGCAGAATCCTAGCACTGGTGTGGTTTGTTGTGAATCATTAGGGCAAGGCTCCCCCTTGATTGGCCACAAGGAGGTCATTGCTATGGAAGTTTCTTGAATGGTCCCCATAGTGGAGGGGTGGAGGGTGGGCGCTGAGCAGGGAGATGAACTGGAGTGTCTCATTTAGAGTTCAGACTGAGTGGATTTGGGTGGCAGAATGACTTTGACAGACACTGTCCCCAGTATTAACTCATTGGGTCCCATAACTCTCAAATGTGGCTACTAAAATCATCCCTGTTCTACAGATAAGTAAACGGAACCAGAGGCATTAAGAGAATAGGACCCTAATTCTAGTCCATGCTCCTAACAACAGCAGGGGTGGTAGATTTGTCCTCAAATAAAACATGGCACTTTACACATGGAAGTAGAAAACGATAACTTCTGTTTTCCACTGGAGACACTTTGGTAAAACTAAGTATAAATGACAATATAAAGGATAAATACATTTCTACTAAAACATCTCAGACCATAGCCTGCCCGAACACTTAACCAAAATAAAGCATTCATTTAATTTTTATTAGCTTTTCTGTCATTCAATTTATTCATCTTTGGAAGCTTAAAAGTGCTAAGAAAAACAGTTCAAGGAACGGTGATATATTTCAACCATTTCTCAACTATTTACTGAGCAAAAATCTATAGTGTACTTAAAAGAGACAACTCTTTTCATCAACAGTAGAAATCTATGATTGTATTTTGCCCCCCAATACTGCTTTACATCTTGAATTAATTCCTTTTAATGTGTAATTATTCTGAAAGCTCTTCTAGACAAGAACAAATTAATAGGATGTCCACGTTAGCCATGAATATACGAGAGTTTCACAAGCATGTATTGAGGGCTTTATACCACATAAAGTATAAAGAGCTTTGAGAGTTAAAAACAATTTAAATGGAGCCCTTGCTCTGATGGATTTTATCTTTTGGTAGTGGCAGTAATACCAACAAGTAAGTAAGTGGTAAAAATTAAAATATGGGAAGAACGAGTTTCAGGAAGAGTCCTCTGGCTGGAAATGAAGGAAGATCATGAAAGAAGTAGGGGCCAGGTGTGGTGGCACATGCTTGTCATCCCAGCACTTGGGAGGCTGAGGCAGAAAGATTGCTGTAAGTTTGAGGTGAACCTGGGCTACATAGTGAGACTCCGTTTGAAGGAGGAAAAAAAAAAAAAAAAAAAAAGAGGTAGCACTGGCTTCATGAAGGTGCCTTTAATTTGGCACCCCAGTATCTGGCACATAGAAAAAACTTGATTCAATGTTTTTCAGATAAATGAATAATTTGGAGCTAGATGATAAAATATGAGAAGCAGGAGCAGATATGAAGAAGCATAGTCTCGATTCAGCTTCATTAAGAAAACACTCACTGTCCATTATCTCTGGGCCAGGCCCATACCCGGTGGTCAGAGCAGCAAGTGCCAAGGTGCAGGTCCCAGAGTGGAGCTGGGGTGAAGGGCACGGCGGAGGCTGGGCGTGTGGTGGAGCAGCAGATAAATTTGCGGGAGCTGGGAGCTGTGTGTGGATGATGTCAAGGCCAAGGAGATCTCCAGATGGGTAGTTTTGCCCATTCATCTGTAGTTTTATGTCTTTTAAGCAAATATTTTTTGATACCTGATCACGTATATTTTGTTAATATAAAAATAAACCTGGTCAGATTAGGAATTTCACTTATTTATATATACAGTATTTCTCAGTATTCATATGGACTAGGTCTAGGTCCTTCAAGAACGTAAGTCCTTTATATAAAATGGCCTGGCATTTGTGTAAAGGCTATACACATCCCCCTGGATACTTTGTTACTTCTAGATTACTTATACCTAATACAATGTAACTGCTAGGCATGTAGTAGTTCCTGCTCAGAGAGTAAAGCCTGTACACATTTTCAATCCATGGTTGGCCAAATGTGAATGTGGCCGTTTCCTCTTGCAGACTGCTGGGACATGGGATTTTAATAATAAAAATTATTATTTTTATGTTGTTTCCAAATCAAATAAGCAGTCAAGAGCAGAAAAATGCTTCAGAGTAATGAGTTAATTCTAAAATGACATTTGGACATATCAACCAAATTAATTTTGTTGCAAAACTGATTTTTAATTCATGAATCTGATTCCAGAGGATTTTAATCCCATTGCCCTTAAAATGGCTGTGGAAACTTAGAGTGTTAAATTTATATAGCATGTATAAGCAATATATTTATGTATGTCTTTATAACGATGCCTACATCTATACAAACATAGCTGTCACAGTACATAAAGATGGTTTGGAGTTTGGACTCAACATCTGACTGTGTCACTTCTTACTATGCGTCTTTAGGCAAACTGCTTAACATTTAAACTTGAATTTCCTTATCTATAAAGTCAGGAGATTTGTAACTCATTGTGTCTCTGAGAAAATCATAAGAGCGTACATTTATTACTGAGCAATTTCTAGGTATTTTCACCTAGGAAGGGGAGGGACAGAGTGATGTAGTCGTTCTCCCCTGGCTCCTGCAGAGATGGTCACAGCCCGGTGTGTGGCTCAGAATCGTTCTCTTCACCATTCTGCTGGGCCGTTTCTAAAGGTCTCTGCAAATGCACTTCCAGGGTGACTTATTTCTTTGTCTGCCATGGCATTTATGAGGCTGAGATGGGACAGCACTTTCATCTTTGTGAAGCGCAGATAATATTTATGCAAATTTAAGGCATCTAAAAATGGCAGGGTCTAAATTTTTAGAGTGGCTAGAATTTTCATAGCCATTTCCCATACTGGTTGTATAATATATTTTATGTGCAAGAAACTTTTTAAAAAGATGAATTAAACCAGGATCATTCATGATCCCTAAAGATAATAAATGGTTGGAGTTTTAGTGAAATGAGTACATTTTTTTATGTCCTCAGTTTTTAAAAACTTGTTGTTCAGCAGTTCAGTATTATGACCTAAGCAACAAATATGCTTTATGCGCCACACGGAAAATTTATCTCACTTCTTAATATGAGTCACGCTAAGTCTCAGGGTGAACGTTATAACTTTTAAGAAATGTGAAGGCTTGAATTGAAGAGAATGTGGGAAGAGTTGGGATTCTTATTCAGTTTCTTTTCGAGGAATAGGTAATACATTTTTCCTTTGTGTTTGTACACAAGGTCCCATAACAATATTTAGAAGATCAGAGAGGCAGCTGGTGAGATCTTTGAATGAAGGCTCATAAATATTCTTTTGTTCTTTCTACTTCAGGAATCTAATACATTTGCAGCTCTGAATCAGAGCGACTAAATGCTTTTTACTTAGTTCTCCTGGCATTTGCCAAGACATGTCTCCCCTACCCATAAAACAAGTGAAAATTATTTATAAAAACAAAACAACAAAAAAAGTGAAAATGACAGCTACTTCTGAATGTTTAAGACCTTCAAATGAAGGTTACAATAGAATGAAACAGTTGAAGAAGTAAAATTACCGAGATTCTTTCAGAGATGTTGACTTGGGCCTTGCCATAGATGAGGGATCAGGAAGGTTCTGGAAGGCTAGGCTGTTGCTCATGGAGGAGAGCTAGCCTGTTCCAATCCCATTTGACTCGCAATATATATTAGGGTATCACCTTGTGATTCTTACTGGTTGCAGACACATGATTTTAACAGACTGGCAACTAATCCCTTTTATCTCTGGTTTATTCACAGGAGTTTGAGTAAGAATAACAGGATGACTCCAGCCCATCTTCACTCCCTGTGTCTTCTTATACTTTATTTGGTAAGAGGAGAGAGTATGTGACTCTGCTTATTTACTAGGTATTTTCTGCCATCCTTCTACTGTGTACCAGGGAAGGAATAGTTCCCATTACTTAAAAAAAGGTAACCTATGAAAATTAAATTATTGTATAGAATGGACACTGTGTTCTGATATTCTGTTTCCAGTGAAGTGGCCACAAATTATATGTCTGTCCTTCAACTGGAGGAGACAATTTTTTCCTAGTTCTTCCAAGCCCGTAACCCCTAATGAGCAAGGTTTAAAACAGATGACCTTAGGGAATCTGGAGAGAAATTATACTGATACATATATTAGCCTTTATCCTTTAATCTTGACTTTTTTATTTTGACCATCAAAATTTACTATCAAAACACAGCAAGAAAAATCATTTTCTCTGTTTTTAGCTCTTGTGTATTTTCCCCCCCATAAATAGGGTTTTTAAGTTAAATTTGTCTTCTGTTATTTGTTGAGTCAACCCCATTGATTTTCAGGCTTCTAGAGGTTGGAGCTGGGTGGGATGTGGAGGCTCAGCCTGGGTAGAGAGTAGAGGGCATCCTTGCTCTGTCCACGAAGATCCCGAGGTTTGCAAAAGTGGCCAAAATTTTCTTGTGTAATGAAGGAGGCTTATGGAGATGTACTTGCCTTTTGCTTAGAAGGAAACACCTAGATCCTCATGATTTCCATCTTGTTGTCTTTCTTCTGCAATCCAAAAATAATACACCAAGGCCTATAAAGTCCCCAAGAGCCCATATACTTTGAGAGTTTTTAGAGAGTGAAATACAGTCAAATTTGTGGAACTATAAGAGCTTTCTTCCTAGGGTGAAAACTGCGATTCAGACTTTGAGGCCATATGTGTCCTCACAGCCCACGAATACAAAGCTTGTCCTTGGGCTTGGGAAAGAGCTGGCTTTGCTTTTGTATGCATGTTCTCAAATGTCTTTTCCTACTTAGGTTATCATAGTGTGGTCATGAAGACAGAGCTGGGTTCAAACTTGTTGCTGCCCCTTACTAGGGATAGCAATTTGACTGAGTCATGGTGGACTTGAAACTCAAATTTTTCCCCTTTTAAGTGGGTTTGATAATGATACTTGCCTTATGGGATGTTATTGCAGTTAAATAAGGTAATGTATTTATAAAGTTCTTAGATCAGTGACTAGCACAATCCCAGAGCACCATAAATATTCTAATGGTCTTCCTACAACATTTTAAATGTTCAGTGTCTACGTTCATCTGGACCCTAACCTCTGTGATGAAGAGACTGTGTTTTAGTCACCTTTAGGTTAGTACCTAGCAACTACCATGAATGAAATAAGTGATTATGGACATATATTGGGAAGCCACAATGACAGAGAGGGAGAGAGAGTTCACTCGATACTTTGCTTATTAGTGGGCTCATATGCCTCCTGTGGGAGAAGAGGGTGTATGTTTTTGTTCCTGCCTAAAAGGCTTTCTTTCCAGTTTCAACCACCCCATCCTGCTCAGTCCTGGTGGTGTGGCTTGATGACTCAGAGGGTGCACATGCATTTTGAAATCTTTATGGCCCCAATAGACATATTAATGGGCAGGAAGAGAGATTTGCTACTGTGATATGAGGATGCAACTTTGAACCCTGGAACTGCAACCTGACACTCCTTTCCTAGAGGTGAGCCTGCCCAGCTCCATAGAGAAGACACAGCCTTGCTCTTGAAGTTTCTGGCGGATGCAGTTTCCACTGTTGTGATCAACTGCAAGGCTGACCTCGCTGGGCACAAAGTGATGAAGATAATTTGATGTTGAGCAGTAGCTGGGCAGAAAGCACAGTTCTTGTTTTGGGCCTATCGTGGTGGCATATGGACATCTGTACCCAACTCCTGTGCTCTACCTTCCAGAATTAATGGAGGTAGACAAGATGTGGAAAAGCAGATGGAAAAAAGAGTTCCCAAAGGAAGTGAAACTAGGATAAAGGAGATGGTTAGAAGTCTGTGAGTTAAGAATTCTTTTAGCTACAATTAATTGGAAATTTGACTTTAGTGCCTCTTAACTAGAGGTTTATTTTCCTCCAATAACAGGAAGTCTGAAGTGATCTATTCAGGGCAGGTCTTGATGTTACCAGACTCTTGAATTTCTTTTTTGCCCTACCATCTTTTGGGCTGCTTTGTTCCTTCATGGTTCATGATAGATGCACCAGCTGGAGATGTGAGGTCCATTGTGTCAGCTTGAAGGACACAAAGGACAATGCTAACCACATCTGTTCCTTTTCATCAAGAAAACAAAAGTCTGACACCCCAAATCCATCTAGGCACTGCAGATTTTCCTCTTGTTTCATAGACCTGAAGTGGGTGACCTGGCTACCATTCTAGCTGCAAGGGAGCCTGGGAACAAGCTGATTGGACTTTCCAGTCTCGGTGGGAGGCAGCAAAGGAGAAAAGCTGGCAGTGACCCAGGGACAGCTGATTGGAGTAGTAGCCAGAACTCTGGTGCAGAGATCAAATTCAAAGTCCTCTGTTTCTGTTATTGACATTTACAGATGACAATATTAACTTAGGAGGGACATAGTATGGGACCTCTTCCCCTCTTCACTCACATACTGGTTATTTTGGGTGATTCCCAGCTGGCATCAGTTTACATGGCCTGTGCTCTCATTAAACGTAAGTGGGAACAAGTTCTTTTTTCTCCATCCAGTTCTTACCTTTTTGAGTTCACTTCTCTATCACATTGCCCTTATGATTCTGAATCTAATCTAACCACCTCTGATTTCTATCACAAATGGGAGACCCAAAGGGCTACCGAGGAAAGGGAAGAGGCCTGGCCAGCATCTGACCCGGGACACAAGGTCCCTGGTCCTAGAGAGCATCCCTCCAAGGTGTATTGCTGGCTGCCCCTCTGTGCCCTGCTCCATTTCCTTTGGATCTTCCTTCAGGGGCGCCATCATTATCATGGTGTGTGATGATGGGATGGCAGGGCTGCTGCTAATGCTCCTATCTCTAGGACTGGGAATGGTGGGAGTAACCTTTCCCTCTAGGTTGTCTTGGCCACGTTGCGCTGTCTGGTGGACAGTGGTGCTTAGCAGCTGAGAGGGTAAATTCCAGAGTGGACGGATTTGATTCCTTCTTCCACCCAGACCTGGACAATTACTTCTCTACATTTTAGTTTCACTGCCTGTAAAATGGGGCTAACAGTAGTAATTTACTCCAATAGGTTTGTACACAGGATTACACGTGCTTAGGACAGAGCCTTACCAAGAACAAATTCTTCTTACTGTCTCAACTGCTCCTGCCGTCTTCCAGTCTGGTGGCTGCAAAGGTGGCTTGGCTTCAGGTTTAAGGTCTTTGGAGTTTAGAACCATTGTGTGGTCCCTGCTTGAAAGAAATAAGCTGTGTGATTTCATTATTTTTCTGAGTATGAAGTATTAAATGTTAGAGCAGCAAGCTTTTCTTAGTTTTAGTTCAAATTCAGATTCCTATTTGACCACAGTTTACCATATTAACTATGTTCCAAGCAAGCACTATACTAACTCTCCCCACCCCATAAATTCAGCTGCCCTTGAGGTTGAATTTAGTGGCAAGAGGTGTTTTAAGAAACTGATACAAAACCCTGCAGAATTTAGAAAGTGGCTCAGTGGGACAAAGTATGTGTGCTATCTCCACTTCTGGAGTTTATTAGAGGCTGCATGTCTCTAGGTCTCATTGTAACATGGAGGTGCTGATATCTTTCCCACAGAGGAATTCTCCAGTGGCTAAATGAGAAAAATAATGAAAACCAAGGACATTTTAGACGCTTTTCTGTGTTTTGACCGCATTTTCTGTTTTCAGCTACGATGGAATCCTACTGTTCATAGATTGTTTCTGGACACTCCCAAAAAGACAGCAATGCTTGTACAGATGCTTGTACAGCACATACGCTTGTAACAGATGCTAATTTTTCTCTCTGTTTGTTAACAGGCAATGGGAAATGGCCAAGATGGAAAATTTAGTGGACCCCTGAAGCCTATGACATTTTCCATTTATGAAGGCCAAGAACAACATCAAATCATATTCCAGGTAAAGGCTACCCTCACTCACTGGCATCTTGATTTCTCAGAATGTGAGTGGCTCTTATTTCCTTCTATACTACACAATGGGAAATAAAATAGAGGCTTGGTGAATCTACCCACCAAAGATGATTTCAGAAGTTAAACACAGATGGATGGTGCCATATCAGGAGTCACACCTGACATCCACATCCAGACTTCCTCAATCCTGTGTGGAGCCAGGGCTTCCATCCTGTCCTGTACAGGGAGCCTGTTATCTGTCAACCTTCGGGTGCAAAGGGCCCCTATGTGTAAGGCTGTCTGGTCAATGAGTTTCCTTGTGAAACTTTGTGAGGTGGGGCTTCTCTGGAGCTGGTGCTGGATGAGTTTCTCTGTATGGCCAAAGGTCTGCCTTTTCCTCACTGTCAGCTCTGAGCCCAGGCCTGGCCTCACTGATGAGATGGCCATGGCATGAGGGGAAGTGGTCTTCTTATCAGTTACATAACTGGGAAAGCACAAGATTGAGGGATAACCTGCAGGAGGATGAGGCACTTCAGCTACTGAGGGCCCTGGAGTAATGCTGGAAATGTCAGGGAAAGGAAAACGTCCTGCTGCATTTACCAGGCATTCCCTCTGAAAGCTGCTTGGCCCTAGAGAGTGGAGGCGCCTGATGAGCCTTTGGGGGTGTTCATTGTCCCTCCCCCTGCCAAGCACCAGGGTTCTAAACGACCTTCTAAGGTAGATAGATGGCTGTCATCAGCTGCTGCATGTTTATTTTGTGGCATTTGTCTACGGAGGGGAGGCTGTGAGCTGCCTCTTGGCCTTCTTCCCATTGGTACCAGATGAGCACAAGCATGAGCAGCACCTGTCCAGCCAGCAGTGCTGGGCAGGGAGTTAGGCGTCCCTTGGGCTCTCCAAGCAATAAAGTCAGGCACTGAACAGGAAGTGAACACACTGAGAGCTGAGGCTGCCAGGAAGGACGAGAAGAGTGTTCACAGACACAGCAGGGACAGCTGCCCCATGCGGGAGGGGACAGGGCACTGACTGTGACCATTAGGAGGCCACATGGCTGGGCAGGACAGAGCCAGGAGAAGAGGGTGGGAGAGGAGGCTGCAGAGACCAGAAGGCCCTGTCCCCTGAGGCGCCGCAGTTTCCTCCAAAGGGTGGCCTGACTCGGACTCCCTGTCTGAAAGACCCCTGTGGCCACCGCTGAAGGGGGCAGGAAGGAGGCAGGGCTCCCAGGATAGATGATGTCCTCCTTAACTCCCTCTCTGCCTTGCCTGGGAAGGAGCGCTTGGTTGTAGGTTCTCTCTGATATGTTTTCTTGTTTCATTCATGTACTGTGCTTTGCAAGCCTGCACAGACTTCATTTTCACACTGCATTTTTTAACCACAGATGGGGTGGCCCTTGTACAGGCGGCTCTGCCCTGGGCAGTAGGGACAAAGGTGAAAGCCAACACGGAAACGAACACATGCACCAAAGATTCTGATGGGAGTTGGGTGGCCAAAGGGCAGGCAAAGAAAAGGAACTGAGTATTTGTTTTTTAAATGGACAAAAGCTGTACATGTTTATAGTGTGGAAATGTTCTTTAAAAATATTCATTGTAGAATGGCTGCACTGAATAAGTAATACATGGAATCATTTCCCATTCTCATCATGTGTTTGGTACCAAGAAGCTCACAATTGAAGAGCTACTGTGAGGATAACACTGAACTGAGTGCTGAAAGGTGGCCAGGAGCTCAGACTCCAGTATTGGAAAGCGTCGTTGGGGTCGAGGATAGGAGATGGTGCATGGGCAAACCCTGCTTCCTTGCTGAGGTCAGTGCAGACTGGCCAGCCCTTCCTGCTGGGTAGGCTGTTGGGTGCCACTGGAGGGCTTCAACAAGGAATGTCCTATGTAGATCTGTGCGAGCCTATTCTGATATAGTGAGCATTGAGTTGAAGGGGAGAAGGCCAAAGCCAAGTGGGGTCTTAGCTGAATTTTTGGTAGTCCAGTCAGAAGAGATGGATCTGCTCTAAGTAAAGGCCGAGGGCATGCCAGGGTCTGAATGTTGATGTCCTGCAGATTTGCATGTGGAAACCTAGCCCTCTATGTAATAGTGTGAAGAGATGGAGGCTTTAGGTCATGCAGCCAGAGCGCCCTTAGATGAGATTAGTGCCCTTATTAAAAAGGCTTATAGGAGCCTATATGAGGACACTGGGAAGATGCCATCAAAGAGGACAGGCCTCCTCTCCTTCCTTCCCTCCCTTCTCCCTTTCTTTCTATTGTACCAGGAAATTAACCCAGGTACTTCCTACTTGGGCTGTATCTCCAGGCCCCACCTCAGGCTTCCTTTAAAACCTTTTCTTTGGATAGGTTCCCTTAAGTTGTTAAGTTGCCCATGCTGGACTTGCTTGGCTCATTTACATTTCTGCCAGCATTGTATGAAAGTTTTACACATCCTCAACATTTATTATCTGTCATTTTTATTATAGTTAACCAAGTGTTTATGAAGTGGTATTTATTTGTACCTTTGCTTTGGATTTCCCTAATAACTAATGGTGTTGATCTTTTCATGTTTCTCATAATGCTTTCTCCATATTCTTTGGTTAATATTTTGCCTATTATTTAATTGGACTGTTTATCTTTTTATTGTTGTAAGAGTTCTTTGGATATTTTTGCATGCCAATTCTCCCTTTGGAAATATATCACTAACAAATATTTTCTCATATTTTTAAAGGTTAATTTTTTAACCTTTTTGGTAGTGGCCTTTGAAACACAATTATTTCTTTTAATTTTATGAAGTCCCATTTATTTTTTATTTTTTATTTTTTTTTAAAAACTCCAAGTTGAAATATCACTGCCAAGCTAGTTTGCCAAACCCAGCTGCAGGTGACGCAGCAGGCTTTGATTGGCATGGTTTTTTTTTTTATGTCTTTTTCATTTTTATCGGTACCGGGGATTGAACTCTCGACCACCTGCTTGCAAGGCAGATGCTTATGCCGCTGAGCTAAATCCCCAGCCCCGTCCCATTTATTTTTTTCTTTTGTGCTTTTGATATCTAAGAAACCATAGCCTTCTCTAGGACCATAAAGGTTTATATTATATTTGGTGTGAGGGATCCAATTCATCTCTTGCCTGCAGATGTCTAGTTTTCTCAGAACCATAGTTGGGAAAACACTATGGTTTCCCCATTATCTTACCACTCTTATCAGAAATAAGTTGGCCAGAAATGTAAAGATTTGTTTCTGCACCCAAGTTGATTCCTTTGACCTACTTGTCTATCTTAAACATTACACTGTCTTACTTACGGTTTTATGGTTAGTATTATGTTCTACAGCTTTGTCTTTTTATGATCATTTTGACTATTCTGGGTTCTTTTCTTTTCTGTATTAATTATAGAGTCAGCCTGCTAATTCTTTAAACAAAGCAGATATAACCTTAATAGGGATTGTTTTGAAGCTACAGATCAATTTGGGATTATTGCTCTCAATAGTATTAAAATTTCCAATCTGTAAGCCTGAGATATTAAGACATTTAGATATTAAGACTTGTTTATTAAAGATGTTAAGAGTAAATATTAAGGAGATTAAGGATATTTATTATGGATATCAAGACTTACTTAGATCTCTAATTTTTCAACATTGTAACTTTTTTTTGATGTTAAGAGTAAATATTAAGGAGATTAAGGATATTTATTATGGATATCAAGACTTATTTAGATCTCTAATTTTTCAACATTGTTTGTAACTTTTTTTTTTTTTTGGGGTACTGGGAATCGAACTCAGGACCTCATGCTTGCCAGGCAAGTGCTACACCATTAAATCCCTGGCCTTGTAGCTTTCATGTTACAAGTCTTGATTGTTTAAATTTATTCTGAACTATGTTATTGTTTTTGATCCTCTCTTAAATAGTATGTAAGAAAAAACATTTTTTTTTTTTTAGATTTTATTTAAGGAGAAAAAGAAAAAAAAACAGAAAAAGGGTACAAGTTATACAGAATTTCGGAAAAAACAAACAGTAGGAAATCACTAGTTAATAGATTACATATTGTTATCTTAGAAATAGTTGTTCAAGTTACAAAATTAAAGCATATAAAGTGGACTTTCAAACAGTGAGACTGCAAACAGTTCTGTTCAATGGTCCAACAAAACTCAGTAGTATGGTTTTCTATCTTATACACTTAAATATAGATGCAGTTATATCCTTTAGAGCACTTCTTTTCCTCTCTTTTGTACAATGACAATTACACATTTTGGGTTTTATTACTCCCACAGTTCTTTTTTTTTTTTTTTTTATTTAAGAGGAAAAAGAGAAAAACACAAAACAAACCAAAGTGGCGTAAGGGTACACACAATACAGAACTACAGAAAAAAAAAAAAATAACAGTAAGAAATCACCTGCTAGTAGATTACACACTATCATCTTGAAAATAGTTCCTCAAATCACAGTATCAAAGAACACAAGGTGGACATTCAAACAGGGAGACTGTAAACAGCTGTGTTCAATGATCCAAAAAACATTGATATAGTCAGCTATTTAACACCCCCAAACACACTTGCTGTTATACTCGTTAGAGCTCTCTTTTTTTTTTTTCCTCTCTTTTTTACAACAAAATTTACACATCTTGGATTTTATTACTCCTTAGTGCTTATTACTTTCTTTGGGTGGGGGGGAAGAATACAGTCAAAAATGGCAAAACAAAGCTGTCAGTCAATACCAAGGATAGACATAGCACATGATGTAGAACAGAGTACAAGTTTATCAACAATGGTTATCAACGTTGTCCCTTGTTTCCTTAAAAAGAATTGTCTATCTCATTAGATATTATAAAGTTGGACAAAACAGTAGAGAACAAGACCAATAAAATTTAGGCATTGTAACCATTACAGGACTTCCAAAGAAGACAATAGTCAAACCAGAATGGGTATCTTAGTGAATCTTATTGTCTTCAAAGTAGTTGCCTATGTCTTCAAACTTGATACTATCATATAGAATGGAACAGAGTCTAATCAGTCAAAACAAGATCGTGGGAGTACTACAGGACTTC